GTATGAAGCTGTTAGCTTTAGCATGGGGTTAGATTGGTGCTCTCCACTTTCCCGATTGGGTCCTACGAAATCCGGATTTCGATTAATTAGAGACTCCGAGGAATCATGTGCACGGCTTGTGTGATGAACTTCCCTGCCTCGTGAACACTATCCAACCAGAGCCAGTAAAAGTCTCCAAGTGTTTGCGGTGAAATCAGGAAACCATGGTAAAAACCAAGTGATTCAATGACCTATGTAATCACCGCGTAGGTGTATCACATTGTTGATTTGCATCCATGGTTCTGGTAAGCTGGAAAAACCATGATGGCGTATATCCTGACTATGCAATCCCCTCCTTTGGATAATGCTCAATTCCTGGTACGTCCTTAGTTAATTGCACTCCAATATACGGTTTAGCCATCGACCAATCAACATGAAATGTCACTTACAGCTGATTGCATATGAACAACCTGTTTGTTGTGGCGATATTTCAAGCGTCTATCTATCAGAGCGAATTAGAATGTGTTGGAAATGATGAAATGCCCTGGGGCAATTCAGAGCTGTGGTAAAATGAATGGATCTTTCCAACGTAAAGATCCATTCGAGCGGTAATCAGAGATGTCAACATTGGTTTCTCTCAGGAAGGATGCCTCCTGAAGACCGACAAAATGTTTAGACAGTTTATTAGATGATTAGTTCCCTGTGGCGGAGAGCATTGTTTGAAAGAAGGCATTCCAGCTAGCGCAAAAATTTTCCGGCCCCCACAATTTGGTCTCGCTTTGGATCATACAGATATAGCGTTCAATTCGACTAAGTAAGGGATAAACAATGTATCACACCTGTTACTTTTTAGGTTTGCGGTGAAAGATTGGCTGTACTGTATGATACGGTGGACGAATTTCGATCGGGGTTGCCGGAATCGCCCTATGGATATGCCGATGCTGAAATTTTCAATGCTAATCTAATATCTCCATACTACCGGTAACTGTCAGAAAGAACATCAAGGCTCAAAGGATCAGCGGTTTCTAGAGCCTTTGCCGCTTGAATGGAGAAAAGCCATTACTTGAAATTATTAAAAAACTTCAAAATTAACTATGCCTTCGCGGTCGAAGCTTGTCATGCAATTCTTCCAAAAGCGCGTGGATGACTCTTCAGTTATTCCCAAATTGTTTGTCCGTTGTCAACCACAAGGTGATTGATCAAGGACTTTAACGCCCCTTGCCAAATTCTCAGCATTCTAGAGTATAAATTTGACATAATGGCCTTCGAACTGTTCTTCAGTGTTGTGATCAATTGATCGGAGTATCATTTGGTCTTCTCGGTGTTCGTTTCGGAGATATTTACTGGTATAAATTTGATCTTCAACAGAAAACCAGCAATCAAACGAAACCAAAGTGGACATTCTCATGGCTAAAAATCCAGTGAAAAATCTGGGCTTGTGTTCATCTGAAAGTCCTGATCAAGGCTTTCATGGAAACGGATTCAAAATCACTTCGAATTATAAATAATATCTTTTTACTTCCTTTTTTATTTATTGAATATACAGATGTACAGTCAACATTCAGGAAGGAGGGCCGCGGCCATACAAAGGCTGCCCGGAAAGACGGGCGGCGGTGGAACGGTTCGACGAGCGATGCTTGGCGAGGCAGATAGCGGTTGGAAAAAATGAAGGGGGTTAAGCTAAGATCTGGCATGAGGGTATGAAAACCCTGACCAGAAGACTGGCTCACATAGGTCCCGTTAGACTCCCTGGCTGGGGACCCAGAGATCATGTTCACCGGTGGTTAGAGACACTGAGCGATATGGTTGGGTGTAGCAAATAGTGGCGCTCATCCATCTACTCATCTTTCTTCAGTCTATGAAAATGTGCTCTCTTCCGCCTGAATCTGCTGTCAACATTCTAATCATCATTCTGCTGTTTTATCCAAATGGGCAACCAAAACCGGCGCATGAAAGTGCATGGTTAATGGTTGTAGGAACTGAACTGATATTCATCTTGATCGTATTGCTGCATTTGGTCACCGAATTGTCAACGCCATCCACGACAGGGTCCATAAACTAGAGTCCGGTGCGAGGGTTGAGTGTCAGGCCTTCGAAGTAAGTAATAAAGCCACTGAAGGCACCGGAGTTGTAACATTTAGGAAAGCTTGTCGATGTTCGAGAAGCGCCGTCGAACCTCACCATTGGAACTTCGATCCATCAAATTTACTTTCAAGATGCGGCAGAAATTCATGGTAAAGACCTTGAGTTTCCTTTTACCTTGTGCTCCTGATCACCATGTTTCACAACCATAGGGGTGGATGGAGTCCTCATTAACCTCGAAGCCTGATGTGTAGGCTTATTTTGCATCTGTTCCACAGCAGTTGCAGTGTAGTTAAACAACATCGACGATAAGAGATAGCCTTGCCTGACTCAGAGGCTAATGTAAACGCAGCTAATGCCTCTCCGCAGGTACGGACGCGCGCTTGAGTCCCTACTTAGCACGACTTTAAAAGCCTGATGAATTTTTCGGGCACCCCGTATGTACCGCAAGAATTCTCTGTCGACAAAGTAAAAGACAGTGCGGAAGATTGCGGTAGATTGTTAAAATTTGCAGTGGTGTCCTGGTATTCTACGGACAGGGGGTAACCTTTTTACGGTAGCAAGCTTGGATTAGCCCTTTTGATTGTTGAGAGGCACCAGGTGGTAACTTTGTTCATGAAATGACCAATCAAGCAGCATGAATACTCAGATCACGATTAAAGAGCACAGAACTGACTTGCAGCTGTTTGAATCATTGACACATCACTCCCCAAATGGGTTGCAAACCCTGGTTGAGCGATTGTGGTCCGGTATGGTGTTAAAATATTGCACACGGTTTACAAAACAAAGAAAGGAGTGGCTTGTGTTCTTTCTCGTTTGAGAGCGTTTTCCACCCATATAGGAATACGGATCAGTTGTTTCTCTACAATGGAATAAGGCAATATTCTGTGTTGAAACTCCACAATTGAGCTAGAAAAGCTTCATCAGGGTTAATCCGTGCTAGAAAACCACCTCAAACTGAAGTTGTCCACGTGCACCGTAAAAAATTTCTTTGATAGATCGAGGCAACGTGAGATTGCATGTGGTGAATTCCACCGAGCATTAGGTGATTGCGCATGGTGGAAAGACGAAGAGTAACAATATTTATTATGTCACAAATGCCCCGGAAATTTTTCATATTAATTAAAAGTATATACAGCTGACTAACAGGATATGTCGCAGTCCTGGAGTTTTCGAATCACCATGACCGTTGCAGAGGAGCAGGGGGCAAAACCTCGAAAAAACATGTGAAACAGTACAGTGTTCATTCACTGTAAACGCTTCCTCCCAATCATCATCATCATTGTTCAGCGTAATACAGTGAAGCGAACTTCACTGATCACTGCCAAACTCATTGCATACAAGGTAAATGATAATGTGTGAGGAGGACGGGGATCGGACCTATTTTTAGGGACGGGAAAAGAAAGCGAACCTCTATGGTCAACACAGAGTACACAGTTCAACTGTGCAAGCATACTATTTCAAGCATTCTGGTCTGATAAGAAATGACAGCAACCATGCGGTTTCGGAGTCTTTTGAACCCCGACCCGGAAGCCGAGATACACCTACTCTACCTAATCGCTCTGTGCATTTCTTCATGCCTCGTCTTCACGTCATGTGCTGGCCTCTACGTGGCTTTCTCCAGCCTGTAACAGCCACTGCAAACAAGGCACGTTGCGGTAGGCGGCCGTCGGACATACGCAAAACGTGTCCTAACCAACGAAGCCTTTTGAGCTGG